CTCTGAGTCGCTGAAGTCAGTCAGTTCGGGATAAGTCCATTAGTCCATCTATGATGAAGTTAAATAGAAATGGGGACAGTCGGCATCCCTCATGGACACCAATGGTTGTCATCACAGTTGTCAGGTGATAACTCTCTACAGGCTTTCACTTCGATGGCTGCATGAGTTCGAGTAGAGTGATAGCCTTGATCAGTGTGATGTTTTTTTTCTCAGCATTCCCTTCACAGTCAAACATCTCCATAGTACCTTTCAGTCGACAGAATCAAATGCCGATATCAGGTCAAGAAATATGACGACTGTTGGACGCCACCGGTAAGGTAAGTATGCCTATGTTCCAGGATCTGTCAAAGAGTGAAGGAAGATATAATCAATGCACACAAACAGGTACTGTACACTGTGCTTCAACTCAGCTTTTTAAAACACTTAGCACCTTTGACTCACTGGTTACAACATAGAAAAACTTTGCACCGATGTGCAGCAGTTCGAGTCACCACACTCCATGTAGCACACAAAGCAAGAGAAGAAAGCAAAAAGAAACACAAAATAGAGACAGAAAACAGAGATATGAGGCAGAAAGAATAGTAATATCGAAGAACGACACAGTTTAATTTGAAATTATAAGTCGCAAGGAGTAGATACACTGGCGCCACTGAGAACGATTTTGAGCCATATCACCAACTGTCTACGGCTATTGGTTTTTACCATCCCCGGGACCCCAACCAGTCAACCAGCCAGTCTACAGCTCCCTACTTGGCTTAAACTAACTGTTGTGGATTTCATTGACTGGTTGATGAAGCCATGTTTTGGTTTGACCACCAATAGCTGGCTCTTTACCAACCTGACCCTATGTCATCTAACATTGCCCACTGTCGAGGAAGGCGATGGCTAGGCATGCATGCGTAACATATGTCATAACCATCTCAATCGATGCAGCTGCTTGACAATCTCGTCGATTGATTTCCTCTCCTCACCTCAATATATTACTCACCCTATTATACCACCTAACATGGGAGATATAATGCAGGCGCCCATGGTCGAAGACAGCTAGCCAGCCAGCCTTTTCACTGTCTTCCACTTTCAATCGCCATGTTTCGCTCACAGCCATAAAGGAGAACGGAGTGGATGATGAGCAGTACACACGCCCTTTTTAGTCGATAGCCGGATATCACCTTTGTTAAATATATATATATAAGAATAGGTATTATCGATTTTACAGTTTCTCTACAATCGTGTATAATTAATTAATTAATTCATTCTATTTCACTGAATAGGTCAGTGTTAGTTCAACATAGAAAGTGAAAGCTGAAATCGATTGCTTCTTACAACGAGATAATTTGGAATGTATATTTATTGATTAATCTAAAGTGTGTATGCTACTCAATCACCTCTTGATAATCTAGAACTAAAATTATGTAAAATATTTGAGAAATAGTCATTCACACATACATATATTGATTTTATAACCAGACAAGAGTAAATTCCTCTTTTTTCTGTGTATGATAGACAATGCTGAATTTGTATTCAGATTCCGTGCAGTCAGTTTCTACCGATAAGAGTTGAATAACCACATCGGAATATTGTGCGGCAGTGGTAGAATGCTCGGCAAAATTATGGAATTATGTAAAGTTATGAAACAGCGTGTGTTTACATAATGATATTGCTTATCATATACGTGTTGATTTTGTCATTTCATGGGGCGGGAGGGAGGTGTTGTAACTAGGTCAGATTCTGTTTCAGTTCATCATTCCTATTCAAACAATTTAGATTCCATTTTATGATATGAAGTGCTTCTGGTATTAGACGTCCTGTGATTTCTGAAATGCTTTTTCTGAATTATTTCAATATTGTCAAAATCAATTTTGTGTCCTGATTCTATAGCGTGTAGACAACCCATGGCTGGCTGATGATTTTTCAAGCATTTCTAGTTCACCTGGATTTATTCCTCGGTGGTCGAACATTTCATTTAATAGATACAATCAGATAGAGAATCTTTAGGAATTCGGTCTTTTATATGGACAAGGTTGTTTCGTAGTGTGTCTGATGCTTTGAAGAAAACTATAAGGTCGAGCTGATTGAGTACTCTTCTGTGCGTCGGTGGCACAGCGGTTAGGATTCTAGCCGACCATACACATGATCCGGGGTTCGTTCTCCTGTCGACGCACACCTGATATCAGTGGTCGGCCTGCAAAATGTGGGCTACCGATATCACATGCTGAAAATTCCATAACTGTACCAAAAATAGGGTGTGGAATCAAGATATAATCAAAATAAAATAAAATAAACCATGTATAAGCTCCAGGGTCCAATTCTCGGCCGACGCATTCCTAAACCCTCGCCTAGCCGGTAGTAAATTCGCTAAAGATGAAAGGTTGGGTGTGAGGCTGATAACCCATATCGTCAAAGATCACTTCAAAGCTCTAGCTTGACGACTTATGTTCTACTGGGAACGTCAGAGAAAAAAAAATAAAACAAACCTGGGAATATGGTTCTTTCTGACGACACTGAAACAATCTCTACCTGGTTTTTCAAATTTTACATTATTGGGAATTGATTGATTAAAAGTTTCCTCGACGGGAAATTTTAGCTGACTGACATGGGATGGATCAGGTTAGAAAAGAAAAAGCTAATGATGGTCAAATGAAAACATGACTTCATCAGTCAATGAAATCCACAACAATTAGTTTAGGCTAGCTAGTCACGTAGGGAGATGTAGACTGGCTAGATGACTGGTTAGGGTCTTTGGGGATAGCAAAAACCAGTAAAGTGTGTAGACAATTGATGATATGGCTCAAAGTGACCGCTCTCAGTGGCTGGTGCAGATGCATTCCACTCTTTGTGACTCGCCAGTCATAACCAATAAAATTCTAATGTTCCTCCATATTACTATTCTTTCTCCCGCACTCACACTTGTGTTAATTATCTCTCTTTACTCTGTTCTCTTGCTTTGTGTGGTACATGGAGGGAGTGTGGCAACTCAAAGTGGTGAAACCAGTCAGTTAGTCCGGACGATAAACCTGAAAAGTAGGTGGTTGTCTTAAGGGGGCACCTTCGTCACCCTTCCCTAGCATTCCCAAGACATAGAGGGCAGCATTGCCGATAAACAAAACAGACTCATCATACGCTATTCCATCCGTTCGGATTCTGGAGCCTGTGTACACATCCGTAGGTTTGGAATGAAGGTTTTCCAGCTGGCCTAGATAGACATCTACACGTCCGACAGTCTGGTGACTGCAAGCACCAGCTAGATGTTCGCATTCCTGTCTCACCTTAGGAAGGCTGTAAATAGGAATTTCCCGGCTGGCAGAGACTACGGTGAACGCGTTTGACTGACTGGATTCAACATAGAACCTTGCACAGATGTGCACCAGTCTACACCTCCTTACGTGGCTGTCTGGCCGGATTAAACAAACATATAGATTTCATTGACTGATGAAGTCATGTTTTGGTTTGACCCCCACTAGCTCTTTTCCAAGCTTGTCCATCGAGGAAAGTGATCGACGACAAGACATGCCTAACACATATCCTAACGATCTCAATCGATGCGGCTGCTTCACAACCTCGTCAATTGATATTCCCTCCTTCTCTAGCACTCAACCGATGCCTCACCTCAATATTACTCACCCTATTATGCAACCTAACACACACACAGGAGATAGAACGCAGGCATCTGTGACCAACGACAGGCCAAATTAAACTACCAATCAGCGAACGACGTCGAATTATCCAATGAGATTCGCGAACGTAGTTCAATGTTGTATAGCGCTAGATTCATTTCAATGCGTGGCCTTACAAGGTTACGTTTACAATTCGAGGAGGATAGTGTCTTTCAGTATTTCCTGAACTTAGGCTTGCTTCGAAAGGACAGAAGTTGTTCGTGTGGTGGTGTAATGACTCTAAAAAGCTATACTAGGTCAACTGATGGTTTTGTAAATCGTTGTGGAATTTGCTGGAAGCGAGTTAGTATCATGATCAGAGAGGGTAATATTTCTTAGGAACTTTTTTTGCTAAGTCGCATCTCTCCCTAACCCAGATTTGGTACACTTGCAATTACTGGGTACTGAAACAGCCCGTGAGAGCCACTGCTGCCGAGACGGAGAACAGCCTCGTCTCCACAGTTCAGTGGTACCAGCACTGCAAACACTCACATCATGGAGAATGGACAGAATTACTTCGTTGTTAGGCGGGGACGACGTTGTAGTCCATGTGGATGATACAGTGTTGGTGAAGAAGAAATATAACCGCGGTCGTCAGAGAGCGAACAATATTTGGGTCATAGGTTTATACGACACGTCCCTCCGAAAAGGATTTGTTGAAAGAATAGCGGACATGAAGGCGACTACTCTGGTACCTATTATAAAGCGACTTGTGAAACCGGGATCAATTGTACACACCGACGAGTGGAAAGGTTATGATTCATTGTCTTCCCTGGGATACATTCATCACAGAGTGAACCACTCCAGTGATTTCGTGGATCCAGTTACAGGGACTCATACAAATTCCATTGAAGGATTTTGGTGTCGATTGAAAAATAGAATAAGGGCTATAAATGGATCTTATTTATAGTCATTTAGATGAATAAATGCGTAGAATGTGGTGCGACTTCTCTATTGACAGTCCCATGCTGAATTGGGAAACGTTTCTCTCCCATGTTCGGGAAAGATACCCATTGTAACCGTTTTATCATTTTTTTAATGCATTTTTCTTTAAATATACGTTTCCGCTTATCATCAACGTCTCTTTCATGTGATTGGTCCGTTCAAGGTCGTTTGCTGATTGGTTGTTACTGGTGTCGAAAGTTTAACTTTGCCCAACGACAGCCTGCCTAATCTTTTCATGTCTTCCACTCTCAATGAGCATATATCATCCAGACAGTCGACGTCGCAGACCTCATATAAATTATGATACAACAATTTTTGCGGCGTATCTCATTGATGTCCACATACAATGGTGTACCAAATTTATAAATTACACAAATAAAAGTCAGAAATCATATCTCTAAGTATATATATATATATATATATCTTGATAAAAATTGAGTAAACTTTATCAATATGTACAAATAACAGATGAAAAAAATAAGATGGCGATTTCGTTTCTCTTCACACACAGAGAGAAAAAGTGAATCAAACAAAGTAAGGCGAGTGAGTGAACAGGAAAAGTTGAATCACGCAAAAATTATTGAGATAATAATAACGAGATAATAATAACTGGGATAAACTGTGATAACCTAGAAAAAAAAAATTTATTCAAATAGTGTGTTTGTTAATTGTACTTTTTGTGTGTTTTGTCTTTTTTCTCTCTCTTCATTATTGCATAGAAAAAAAAGTGAATAAGTTGCACTTATAGAATTAATTCCAAGACCCCCCCCCCTTACAAGATAACACACAAATACAACTGCTGATTATCCTTCTGCTTCCACTGTCACTGAACGTCCACACAAACACGCACACTCACACGCAGGAACATCAGGGTTAGTCAATCAAAAAGAGAAAACAACAGGAAAAAAATAACGCGAACACGAAGACGAACGTGAACACGTACAACGTCGTCAAGTGTCGTCATAATTCTAATCATCTTTAGGTACATTCATAAATAAATAGGACATCGATTCATCATTGTAAATACGTCGGATAGCTTCAGCCAATAGTGGACTAATATCCACTGTACGAATTTTATGACATTGCATTTTTTGTAATTCATGAGGGACAGTATTTGTTACAACAACTTCATCGATACGACTTTCTTCAAGTAAACGTGGAGCATCTAAACTGAGTAGTCCATGTGTTGCAATAACAAATATCTAAAATAAAAAACAAAAGAGAACAGAGAGTGGGAAGAAGATGAGAGAAGTTGTAATGATAATAATAATCACACACATCAGCTGGATTAGATTGGAGTGTGTAAATAGACAAAAAACATAGACGAGAGTAGATGAATCCTTATTGAAACCATCCACTACTCACTAGTAAAAAGTGGTCAATAGGGTCCACCATGTCAAGTAAGTGGACAGATACTCACTCATGACATTGGCTAGTGTTGGCGCTATATATTTATCAACCACGCATGTGGTCCGGGGTTCGATCCCCAGCCAACGACGTACTCCTCTACCTCGTTAAGCCAGTGATAAGACTGGTAGGGAGGGAAGGTTGGACATATGAGGCTGGCTATTAACTCCATCCCGTAAAAATAAACACCACTGCTACCGAGACTTTGAGCCTCTAGCTTGAAGGCCTATGTTCCACTGGGAACGTAAAGGAATTAAAAAATATATTTAAAAAATTAATGAATAGATAGGGGTTAAAATTCATGGGTTACTGGATTCCAACCTAATGGCTAAATGGTCAACAAGCTCATCTAGCAAACTGAAGGACTGGATTCCACCCTCGGTGAGGTCACGTGTCAGACGGGTATACGCTGGACCCATAAGAAAACTCTAGAAGATCTGGATTTCACGCATGGATAGTTTATATTTAATGTTACACAAACTTGAAGACCTGAAGGCGAAAACCTACAAACCAGCTGAAGAAGCTGGCAGGCAGCGAAAGCAGGACTCCAGGTGAACATAGAGAAGATGGAGGTGATGAAGATAGCGAACCAACCAGCCAATCGACCAACAGCAACAACCAGCACCAATCACAATCAACAGGAGAAACTTATCCAGGAAGCATTGTTTCAACCACAGGACAGAATCGGAAATGCAAGATACGCCTTCATCAGCCTGAAACAATTTTGAAAATCTTCTGTACTAAGTATAAGAAACACTAATGTCAAGTCAGTTCTATATACACTACGAGTAACGAGAAGCAATTTGAACAGGTCACTGCATCCTTTGATGGTTTCATACTGAGGATCAAATGGCTAGCTGGCCAGCCAGAAAGAATTAGCAACAAGAAACTATGGGAACAAACTAACAAAGAACCTATCGTCCAATAAATATGTAGGAGGAAGTGGAAATGGATTGGGTATACGCTGAGGAGGTCATCGAATGACATCACGAGCTCTGCCATTGCTCCAGTGAAACCCGAATGGGAAATGACGAGTTGGGCGTTGGGCGGCTGGTGACATGAAGGAGATGAGAGAGACTATGGGCAATCGTGCTAGTTGGTACTCACCAGTCAGCAGGTTGGATCTGAAACCTCGAAGAGATTCATGTCCCTCCTGAGATTCGAACCTACATCATTCGATGCTTCAATCAGAAGACATTACCACTGATCTAGTCAGGGTTCGAGATTGACCTCCTGTAAGACTTTATTGCATACTTTGGTTGGACACTTGATAGTAACTAATGCAATGCATTGTGTCCTTTGATTAGTGTAGACTGGCGACTACACTTCACACTTGACTGATAGAATTCAGTCTGCTCCAAACAAAGGACTAGATACACTAGTTGCATATATATTGAACTCATTGGAAAAGAGTCCCTTCGCTGAATCACCTTTTTTGATATTCGAATATGGGTAATGCAACAATTAATCGTAAGAGTTATAAAAAGATTTAAAACCATAAGGTGGCATGTGCTACTGATAAAATGTATCAGTAGTATATAAAGAGACTTTCATCAGCATAAAAAACATCAAAAGTCAGGGAGATAGATTTGACGTTAGAGAAAGCAAATGACTGAGTGTTGAGGAGAAACATGGGAAACGTGAAAGGCACACAAAGAAACACAATATGATGAAGGAAGGCGAGAAGTAGCACAGCATGGAAGACCTGTGTAAATGATGCGTTGAAGATAAAATGTACATAATTTGACTATACAGAGATGACAGATTCCAAATAAACAACCCTTCAACAAGTCTCTTGTTTCCTACCGTTACATTAGTAGTAAATAGGATTGGGCGAAACTGCTTCAGGATACACAGATCAGTGTTTTTTCCCTTGCGTATACACGACTGTATCCGCAAAAGACAGAAATATCTGACAGGAAGTTAATTGTAAACCTGAAATTCATAGGTGACGGACGTCTACAGTTGAAATTCTTCGAAACAGATTATTGAGAACAATTCGAAAAACATTCTTCACCGCATGTTTACTCTTCACTTTCTTCATGCAACTTCTTATTCATTAAAATATCAAAAACAATGTTCCATTGTTAGAAACATCCACATGAATATATCAATCCAATCAAATATCCTGTGAAGTTAAGTACACAGGCTGTAGAAGTAGGATATCTTCAAGTTGTAGGCGAGAACCAACAGCACAATTCGTGAACACTTTGCTCTTACGCATTATTCCGCATTAATAAAGTGATGTATAACTGTAAGACCAAGTTTTTCGAAGGGTGGTTTTACGGATACATCTTCTGTCCACAGCAGAAGTTCTTGCTATACTCAGGGAGAACTCTAAACTGTACTTTCTGAAGCAGTTTGTCCAGTCCCTTTGACTATCGCGGCTTTTTGGTTTTATTTAGCACAAGTCTTTGGAGTTCTTAATGTTAATCATTTCTGAGTGATATTCACTAATTAATTGCTTTCACACTGAGTAATTTATCATTTTCCTGAAATATTACCAACTGATGGTGACGACGAGTTGGCGAAGTTTTAAAGTATCACGATCCAGGAGTGCGAACGCACTAGTGACCTTGAACGCATACTGGTTGTTGGATAACGAGACCTACCATTTATTATTATTATTATTATTATAGCGTCAATATGAATGCTGCTCATAAAGTTTGAGGTGCAAACTTCATCGCGATCTCATTTTTAGAAAATGAAAACAGATGATCCAGCGAAGAGACTCTTTTCAACGAATTTATCATCAAGCTGTACAATCGTATATATACGGCTATTTTAAGAAGTTATATCCGGTGAGGGAATTGAATCATAGGTGTAAATGCATAAAATAATAATAATAGTAGTAGTATAAAATGCAGTTAAAATATTTGTGATTATAATCATAGTTCAATGTCAAGTGGCAAAGCAAATTAATGTCGTATATAGAATAATTCATAGGATGGATAGAACTTGAAAAAGGTGTGCAATTATAAGATTAGTAGACAAATCGAAAAAATTAAAAAAACGCTACGTAATATTGTGTGAAATTTGACAGCATAGAATTCAATGTTGTAAAAAGGAATTGATTTAGAATGACAAGTGGAACAAGTGAAATAATACCGGGGACAGTTCAAAGTGAGAATATTAATAGTAACAATTGACTTAGTAAGGAAGAGTATACAAATTGAATAGACAAAAATGAAAAATTGGTAGAGCTAAAATATGATTGGGGATTACCATACTTTAGCACAGAGGGGTTAAAACCATGAAAGTTGGAGGGGTTGAACGAACTTTTTCTGTACACAGAGATCTGGCTTTTCTGTTTCGATAGCCAAAGCTTCAGCATTACAGATGAGTCGTGTACGTAGGGATTTGGGTAAATTACTCTTTGCCTTGTAGATGACTCATTTTTAAGTGCTGTTCAGACAGTGTGTTGCTAGCTCGTTAGGGTTACGGTCAAGATTAGGGTTAGCATCAGGATTGGGTTTGGGATTATTGATTCCTATGTTCCGCATTTTTCTAGTAAATAGTTGTTGATCAAGCGAGGACTTTTCGATAAGACAGAAAAACGGGATCAGAGAGATAAATGGATCACGCAAAGAAGACATCTTCAGTCACCTCGATGAATAATACATGTGATCGAAACTGGTATGAGTATAAAACTTTGGCACTGTGGTAGAGTATAACTCCACTATGGGTAAGATTTTATTTTGATAAATCACACACAAGTCACTTGATATGATTATGATTGGCAACAATTTCTGCTCAAAACGTGGTCATCAGTTAACATTACTGTACACTACATTGTGTGATTTATGAAAATAAAATCGTATCTATAATGGCGTTAGAAACTGATACTTCTCATTATAAATTTGGAGGCATTTTCAATTGATGTCAGGGTGAAACATCCGGTCCAATGTGTTTTCATCAATGTAATTTCTCTTGTAAATAAACGTCAATTTTATGCAAAACAAACTTCAAGGTCACCCGCACGTTCACATTCTACGGATCGTTAAAGTTTAGCTCTGCTGATGACTGACCTTTATAGGCATTTTTCTGACCTTTTAGAATGCTAGATCAATATATGTATATTAGAGTGAGAATTTTGAAAATGTAATGGATACACTTAAGGCATTGTAAAACATTTACACGAAATAAAAATGTAATTCCATATTAATTTGTTTATTAGATATATGACACAAAGTATGAAACAGCATTATTATTATTTACTGGATGACACACTTTCGAACACAATTTATTGCTGTTCATAATCATATCATCAATTATAGCCACACAACTTCGAAACTTGAGTTTTATAGTTTTCTTTATTCCTTCCTATTTGTCGCCACAGGGGTAGTAGAATTTTCCAGATGTCCGGGTGGACAGGTTTTGAATCATTCCCCACCCCAAAAATATGGTGGAGGTATGTAGATGACACATTCACAGGATTTTTCCAACGCATCACCTTGACGGTAGAGGTAATTCAATCCCCCTATGAACTGGAAAGTCAGGAAAAGGGGGGCTTCCAATGTTAGATCGTAGTGTAAAAAGGAAAGAAGATGGGAAGTTAAACACACTAGTGTGTTTACAGGAAACCCACACATTCAAACTCATATTCGAATTCCCGGTCATCTCAACCTACGTCAGTAAAATTAGGATGGGTGGGTAATAGGATACAAAAACTAAGTAGTATCAAGGAAAATCTAGCACAAAGTGGGGCATATAAGAGAAGCTTTGAAACTTAATGAATGATTAACCTGATAAATTAGTCAGGAAATATGTAGGGAAATGTAAGAATAAAATAAATAATGATAGTAGTGATAGTGATAATAATAATGGTAGTAATAATGACGACATGCATGTCCAACATGCACAAGATAATGACAACACCAACAATAAAGAATACAAATCATCAGTAGTAATTCCATACAAGGAAGGAACCTCGGAAGCCACCTTACGCAGAATTCTCAACAAGGCAGAAATAAAAGTTGCTGGCATTCAAACCACCCACAAACTCAGAAACAAGCTTTGTCGGTGGTGCCAATTAAACGAAAAAATTTATTTTATCTAATACCCTGTCTGAGATGATTGTCAGGTCACTTACGTAGGTCAAACAAGTAGGACGGGTTCATTCAAACTACTACTTACTTTACTTTACTTCGGCTATCTCCTACGGGAGGATGAGCCGGCTTCATGAACATCTCGAATCATCGCCGTAGCATGGTGAGAGTTGTTTGTAAGAGAGTTTATGAAGTTTCATGGGAATTTGGTACGAGTGATGTCCCCAGAACCACTCGGCCTTTTGTTTGAGAGTGCAGCTCTAGCCTTTACACAACCAAGTGTGACCTACAAGGCAGTAGGAGTGGAGTAGGGAGTCCACTATCCATTGGCAGCCGGTGACCGGAGTTCGGTTTATACGCCTTTTTGAATGGGGCCAGACATCCAGGACATCCAACAAGCCCTTTGTCCATACGTCTGCCGGTGAGCTCCAGTGAGCTTCATATGCCAGTTGTTGGAGGTTTAGAATCAGGGTTTAGCCATCTCCCCTAGACTGTCATCCAATGGACAGTCAATCCGGTGAAGAGCGCCGGGCATCCGCTTTCGCCCTCTCACTTTGGTGAGAAACACCTCCGCCACGTGAAGGCAGTGAGTAGGACTTCCTCAGGAGAGGCTATGTAAGACGCCCGGTCATATAGGAGCATTTCAAGAGGTGTGCTGAGGGGTGGCCAACCCGCAGCGCAAAGCACACACACCCCCGACCATCCTGAGGCTTTGGAGGCGTTCATTCAGACTAGCTGAACATAAAAACCTAGCAAAATCTAGATTGGTTGACCCGAATAAGATAAGAAATCTAGAGAGTAGTTCAGCTATAGCACTACATGCGATTACACACAACCAACCATACAATAGAATGATAATGGGATAAGATGAAAGTTTTAAAATCTAATGTAACAGCAGCGTGGAGGGAGAGATTGATAAGAGAAGCTTTGTTTATCGAATCAACTGCAAATACATGTAACAGGAATGATTCAACACCTGTCCACCCAGATATCTGGAAAATTCTAATACCTCTACGACGACAAATAGGAGAGGACAAAGAAGAAAAAAAGTCTGTAAATTGTTGGAAATGCTTTCCGTGACTCAGTGAAAGTTTCTCACCCATATAAAAAAAGTGACTGTGAACAAAATCCGAATCTTCTTCTTTATGTCGAGTCAGTGCAGAAGATTTCCAAAATGACTTCAGGGTGATGAAAGTCTATCTAGCCCTAGCGACTCTCAGTTTGACATCTTCATCCTCGGCCGATAGCTGCTACCTTGACGTGGTAGTCGGGCTTGCATATTGCAATGACCCAACGAGCTACATTGGCTGGAACTTATGTTCCTGTAGGTCCTACTATGCCAGAAAGGTTCTTTGGATAGCGGTTAGACAAAAAGCAGCTACCCAATCCAACACTTTGATTCAAACAAATTCACAAAATATCACGCCGGATCGGTCGGGGCCCAAATTAATAACGACCGCGCTTCCTGCTGCCGTGTCACAGGGCAGAAGTGATAAATATGCTACTGAGACACACCAAACAAGAGAGAACAAACAAAAACAGGCCGCGTGTGACCGGCCTCAAGCAGTTGTCCCCTGGGCTATGCGGTCACACAACACTGACCTTTTCTCTATTTCAGGTACCCGAAGACTCAACCAACTTCCACGGTGTGGGCAGCGGGGAAGTAACAACCGCCCACACACTTCCAGAAGCACACGAAGCCTACCTGACATCTTCATCCGTTCTGTCGCCAGTAAGTAGTTGAAAAGATGCTTCCTCGCCTAGTTTTCCAACCGGTCCGAAGTCCGGGAAAAGAGGAGAGGGTGGGACATGAGGCTAGTTACCCTATCCGGGAAAATCAATCAAATAGCGACAGACACTTCAAAGTACAAGACCCTAACATTTACCTGAATTTTAATTCTACCAACCATAATTGTTTCAAATGTCTATGTTTAGTAATTTAATTATGTAATTGCGTAAAGCCTGATGAGAATTCCCTGAAAATATGCATTTTCTCGCTTAAATCGTGTTCTGTAATTATCATAATGGGAATATTTAAATTATTGAAAATCTGTGAGTATCCCGAAGCACTGAAAGAACTCAATAGATTCGTGAAGTTTAGCGCTAGGCCGGCCGAGGCAGCAAATGGTATCTATTTAGTTTGTTGAATCATACATGAAATTAAATCCTTATCCTAAATTCTGTTGGAAATCTCTACGAAGATCGTAAATAAGGCCGAATGCAAGGATGCTAAAGTGCTTCAGATCGACTCGACTGAGAGCTGGATAGGCAGGTATTTATTGCAACTTCAAACTGCAGTTGATAGTTTGTCAGAGGATCTATGGTCTATGTTTTGTGAATTACGTTAAGGAAGTTACTGATAAACGTATGGAAAGACAACCCTGTAAGGTGTGTTCATAATGTTTCCAGTGTTTCTCTAGGGACAATCAAATATTTACACCAGACCAACAAGACTATCTCAGATTACCGTTAAATCTTAACCCAGACAATAGTTCACCATCAATATGCTTAACTACCTGAGAACATTCCATCAGGTCCCGCTTTTCTTTGACTCTTTTTAGATTAGAGACAACCTTTGTAACCTTGTGGTGAGAGCTATCTACTGGCCAAATTGGTAGACAGTAATTTACGTCAATGTTTACGTTCCCAGGATTTGTCGTGAGAAAATGTGAACAAAGATTGATTCAAAACCGACCACAGCAGACTTTGCGTAGGCGGATGCAGTTAACATATAGAGGATTTGACATTCAAGAAACAGTCACAAATAGATGAAAGATTAACTTTACGTGAGAAACAACCAATCGGAAGACTGTGTTTGTTTGCTTAAATATCCATAGTAATGTACATGAAAATATATAAATATGCGTTGATTTACTTAATAAATGATCTGTTGCCTGACTCTTGCCTTCTGTCGTTACAACCTTAGTTACAGTTAGGGGACCGATATCCACATCCTACGGAGATAGGTCCGTCGCCTCTTAACCTTACGACCATTAATAGCGACAAGAGCCAGAAAACCACCACTGATAGTCTCTTAAAACCACACTGCCAACTACATACTGTGGTAAGCAACTTCAAGACTCTTTGCCAAACCGGTTAACAGGAGTCGTTACAAGCCAGAATTCTAGCATCCCGAGCCATGGATATATGTTGTGTTTCGCAGATATGCATACAAGATCTAAGTGTGGCTTTTCACTCAACTGTATGAAAATCTTACTGCCGTCTACGAACCACCGCAAGATAAGTCAGAAGGTACCATTTTCGGAGACAGCCTTATCTAATAACACCGTCCCCAAAGAGGATAAAAAGCATAACTGGCATAACGATAGTACGAAGGAAACACCTTATTGTTGCTGCATCCCTATTGGCCAGCAGTACATTTTCGCCCTCAGACCCCCCCCCCCCCAACATATGGTAAACAGCTTATAATATGACAGTAACTGCTTTTAGTCTGACCCCAACCTAAACCTCCATTCTGGTATGGTAGAACCTGAAACATTCGATCCAGCCAGTGTGTAGTTTGTCAGATCATTGAGATGTGCAAGCCCAACCAACATGTCAAGGTAGCAGTTGTCAGTTGACAATGTAGTTAGCTTCTATAACTGACTGCTAACATCGCTTTAGAAATGAGAGAAAAGATTTGTAGAACAAGTGAGTATCTCGGTGTTGTGACGGGAACAATTTAGTTGTAAAGCTTTTGGCGGGTCACAAAGAATATTTCCAACAGCCTGTTGCAGACCTTTATCAACAACTGTCTTCGCTCTATACTCAAGATCAGATGGCCGGAAAGAACAAGAACCAACAAGAAACTATGGGAAGAAAGAAAACAAGAACCGATCGCCCAACAAATATGCAGGAGAAAGTGGAGATGGATTGGACACTCGTTGAGGAGGCCACTGGGTGACATCACGCGTCAGGCCAACGCTCGAGTGGAAGCTGAAAGGGAAGCGGCGAGTGGGACGTCCATAGGTGACATGGAGGAGATCGTGTAAAGAGGAGTTGAAACAGTATTGACTAACATGGATGCAAGTGAAAAGTACAGCAGAAGACAGAAGCAAGTGGAGACGTGTAGTTGAAGTCCTATGTTCCACTAGGAACTCAAGGGAACAATAATAAAAAGCTTTCGTTATCATCCTAGAGCTTCTCGACTAGATCATCATCCAGTTCAGAGAAGGCAACATCAAATACCATCTACAGAAAGCAACGATTGGATAAATAACAAAGCATGGACTGTACTGAGTTTTCCAAAAAGAAAATATAACAAACGTAAATTTTAGGGGAGAAAGGATGATGATAATAGATAAAAATGATGACGGTTCAATGCGTCATCATCTGTCTCACATACCTTATATGCACCTCGTTCATGAAGTAATTCAGCCGCGGTAACAAACTTTGATACATCATCTATAATATCATCAATAATAATAGCAATTCTTGAATTCACATCTCCAACTAACGTCAATGGTGGCTTGGCTTTAGGTATCATCATTGGTAACAATTCAAGACCTACTTGGGTAGTTTTACTAAAAAATTTTTAAAAAAACAAGATAAATAAATGAAAGAAATGTATAAAACATTTTTTTTCCTTTTGGTAAGTTAATGCATCACTTTCTGTTTCATCTCATTGTTTCCCAAGCTTCATGCTTGAGATTCGAAGTTTCAGTAACGGTGGTGCTTTTCACAGGATGAGGTTGCTGGCCTCACACCTGAACTTCCTTCTTTACCAGACTTGCTACCAGCTAAGTTGACCGGAATTCGAATCCTGGACCACTTACGTAGTTGGCGACCATTGTACCACCACCGAAGTACAAAACGCCAGCTACTCGACCAGGAAGCGAACCCAGGCCTTGCACATAACAGGTGAAGATACTCAGCGCTATACCTATCAGGGAACTGCAGACAGCTGCAGAAAACACAATGGGATGGAAATGTGTCGTTGAAGTCGTTTATCAAAATCAGTGAATGTCGAATCAATAATTTGATTGAGTGGAGCTGAGGACTACACCAATAAGTCAGAAAAAAACTTAAATGGGCATAGTGAGCCACTAAGATTGGTGAATTCAATAGGAAGCTTGACTGAGAGAATTCAGTTAGTATCAATACCAAAAATTAGACACATGAGACATCTCTCAAAAGATCTATCTACAGGAAACGGACAACTAACTAATTTTTACAGTTGGGTGCCTATTTCCAGGAAAAGGGACTTAATTCATCCACTCTGCTCTAGGATAAGGAAAATTTGTAGTTCTGATACCGTTGACTCGAAACTTGATTTCTTAAGAGCCACTCTCGCAGAAAACGGTTACCCTAACCGATTTATTGACAGCAACACGAAAGATAAGCAGTCTAAACTGGTTACCGACATAGTTCCAAAGAAAACATTATTCATGAACTTGGAATTCAAAGGTGATCAAGCTTCAGATATGCTCAAAAATCGTCTCTCTAAATCAGTCAGTAAGACATTCTATACAGAAAAATTACATATGACGTTCACTAGCCGCAAGTTGTTCTCTACCTCTGTAAAAGATAAGCTCCCCCATCTGGCCGCCTCTATGAATAATTATAGGATTAGTAGGGTTAAAGAAGTATGTGCGAAGCTCTATTCTACAACACTTGATCAACTCCTGTCACTCTGTCAACCCTGACCACGATTTTAAGCTCATATATAGAATCCATGCTAACTTCCCGCGTTTTCTTCGTTACAGACTTCTAAAGACAGCTGAGGCCTTGACAATTCATGACTTTAAGCCAGACTCTTGTGTACAAAAGAAGTATGTACAATCCCTACTTCTGCCTTGGCCGTAGAGGGATAGACATTTATTTATTTTGTTTATTTAGTTATTCTATGTACTTTTCCCTTATTACTACGATTATTATTATTATTACTATCCTTTATTACTATCTTTTCCACTTGACCCACTTGACATTTTAAACCCAAAATTATTAATTTTTATATTTTTATTTTTACAATATTGAATTCTATCTTATCAAATTTCACACCATGTTATGTAACATTTTATATTCGTCTACTAATCTTATAATTATGTACCCCTTTCCAAAATCTATACATCTTATGTATTATTCTATATACGACATTAATTATTTTGCCACTTGACATTAAGCTATTATTATAATCACAAATATTTTAATTGCATTTCATACTGCTATTATTATTTCATGTATTCACACCTATGATTCAATTCCCTCACCGGATATAATTTTTATAAAAACCATATATATACGATTGTATAGCTTGATAATAAATTCGTTGAAAAGAGTCTCTTCGCTGAATATTGTGTTCTTAATGCTAAAATGGGAATTATTAAACATTGATTACACCCTTGTGACCATTTACTGTATCCATCACAGTCCTACAGGAGGTCATTCGTGAACCCAGAGAACTGGGTGGCATGAGTCTCTTTTCCAGGTTGCAGATACGTCTTGCTGATGAGCGCTAAAAAGCATCAAACCTAGGTTCATAGCTTCCTAATGATTGCCTCCAACTACCTGACATGAACATAGTTTGCTGAATTCTTTATTTGTCTCAGTGGAGACGTGGCTCACTGGCCTAAGCACATTCAACTTTCAGTCAGTGGGTCCCGGGTTTTGAATCCCGGTCTACCTACTTGAGTCTGGGCAACTAGGCAGCGTCACCGGCATTCACACAGTAAATGTGGCTCATATGATAGCTTAGTTCGTATGAAATCTGTTCCGGGCAAATAATATTGAACATTATTTGTCTTTAAAAAAAAAGAAAAATAGAAATGACTTCAACAAATCTAACAAAACCAGCAGTACAGTTTGAGACTAAAGCGTTCACTAATAGTCTTTGCAACTAGATAATTTCATGTCAGAAATCAAATCCACTTAGCCAAGAATACACTGTAACCACTGGAATATCCTGTATTATTCGTTATACAGTCGCTGATTATTTGAGGGATACGGCTTGGCTTACATGGAATAATACAAATTGACCACCTATTGACCACACTCATTTGTCGTATAGCTGATGGCTGCTCACGAAAAGTGCCAACACGTATACTAGCTTCAGCTAAGATGACATCAGAATATAGAATGACTGCTCATTAGTACGCATATATATATATATATATATATCCATAAACGACCTGGTAAGGTAGAGGGTGTGTAGACTTGGTCTTCCTCTCAAAATGCAGTAATGTGGCCACGCTCTCATAGCTTTTGCCAGCCAGGTAAGCCCCATTCACGTGGACGGGGTGTTCCTCACAAAAGTGAAGGGTTGAATGCGAGTGCCTAGCGCTTACAACCCCCATACTGGTGGACATACCGGTCTACCTACAGTAGCTGGGAAATCCTAACTTCAAATCTATGTTAATGTAAAGAGTTACAGAATTAAAACGGATTGAATGGCGTATGGCGAACCTGTTTTGTTCACCGGAGACCAGGGAAATGCAGTTCTTGACGTTGACTTGTAGATTAGACTTCAAGTCAAAGGCTCCGGGTGCGTGTGACCCCTTAAGACAACCAGCAACTTTGATCTGGGTGTCCAGATAGTATCCCAACCTTCGCATAAACAACGAGATTTTGTGTAGGGTATCCCTTGGTGCCCACAGTGTACCAAGTTTGCATTTTAACTATATATATATACGGGTACATTTTTCTTTCTTCTTTTCCTTCTTTGCTTCGGCTATCTCCTACGGAAGGATGAGCCGGCTTCATGAACTTCTCAAATCATCGCTACCCAGGCGCAGCGATCTGATGAAGAGGGTTTACGAAGTTTCATGGGAATTTGGTACGAGTGATGTCCCCAGAACCACTCGGCCTTTTGTTTGAGAGTGCAGCTCTAGCCTTTACACAACCAAGTGTGACCTACAAGGCAATAGGAGTGGAGTAGGGAGTCCACTATCCATTGGCAGCCGGTGACCGGAGTTCGGTTCATACGCCTTTTTGAATGGGGCCAGACATCCAGGACATCCAACAAGCCCTTTGTCCATACGTCTGCCGGTGAGCTCCAGTGAGCTTCATACGCCAGTCGTTGGAGGTTTGGAATCAGGGTTTAGCCATCTCCCCTAGACTGTCATCCAATGGACAGTCAACCCGGTGAAGAGCGCCGGGCATCCGCTTTCGCCCCTTCACTTTGGTGAAAAACACCTCCGCCACGTGAAGGCAGTGAGTAGGACTTCCTCAGGAGAGGCTATGTAAGACGCCCGGTCATATGGGAGCATTTCAAGAGGTGTGAGGAGGGGTGGTCAACCCGCAGCGCAAGGCACCCACCCCCGACCATCCTGAGGCTTTGTAAATACTCAAATAATAAACGAAATAATACAAAAATTTATACAGCAAAACCCAAAAACCTGTTGTACCAACCTTTTCTCTGAAACAGGTTGATCTAATGGTGGAGAATTACGACCATCGGTATTATCACTTTCATCTCTTTCTTCTCCGTGAATAACAACTAGCGGTAAACGTAAACGTTCTGCATAACTAGTAGCCCGTGGTACAACACCAGGATTACGAGCTACTATAACTGCATTTCTATAATCAGCAATGTATGTTTCAATATATTTTGTTAAAAATGGTGAAGCACGCAGATTATCAACGGGAACATCGAAAAATCCCTAAAAGGAACAACAACAAAAAATAATATAAACATGCAGATTAAGAAAAATGAATCTCCGCATAATCGCATGACTAATTTTGCATTTGCGTCATACGAGAACGATTTTAAGCTATATACATATTACCAATAGTCTTAAGCTATAGGTTCACAGCATCCTGATGACCCCAGCAAGCCAGTCTACACCTTCATACATGGCTATCTAAAACTAATAATGAAAGATTACGGGTTGACGACAGACAGATAGCGAGGAAATGGGCATAAAATGGACCCACACAAAACAAATTTGGAGGATCTGGACTTCACCGATGATCTATGTCTGATTTCCCACAAACTAGAAGATATGCAAGTGAAAATCAACAAGTTAACGATAGAAGAAGCATCCAGAAAAGATAGGACTTCAGGTGAACATAGAGAAAACAGATGTGGTGATGAAGATTCCTGACCAACAGCAACAGCAAGAACAACAGACAACAATCAGCCAGCATAAATGGGGGAAATCTGAGAGAAGCAACATCCTTCACCTATCTACCTACCTGGGAAGCATCGTTTCAACTACAAACAGATGGAACTGATGAGGATATCAAGGCGAGGATAGGGAAAGCAAGGCAAGCTAGCTTTCATTTCTCTCAAGTCTGTATGAAGATCAACAGCACTCAGAATTAAAAATTAGTTCTGGATTTTCAACTCCAATGTGAACTCAGTGCTACTATACGGATCAGATACTTGGCCAGAGCGTCATGAAGGGCATTTCAAACAAACTACAGACTTTCATTAACAGCTGTCTTCGCTCAATGCTACTCAAGATCAGATGGCCGGCCAGAAAAGATCAGCAGCAAAGGGGGAGCGAGCGAACCAACCCATTAGGAACCAATTGTGAAACATATATGCAGGAAAAAATGGAGGTGGATTGGCCACACTCTGAGGAAACCACCAAGTGACATCACACATCAGGCTATCGCTCGAGCGGAACCCGGCCGAATGGGAAGCGGCGAGTTGGTAGTCGGTGCGTGGATGGGGTGACATGGAGTTGATGCGAAGAGGAGATAATGAAAGCATGTGGGCAGACGTGCCAGGAGCCAGGTGAAAACATTGTCAGAGAACGTAACGCAATGGAGACGTGCAGCTGAAGCCCTATGTTCTTCTAGGAGCTAAAGGAAACAATAATATAATAATAATGGGTTGACGATAGGATTTTTTTTAATCGGTCCTAATCCAACATCCGCTAACACTTCTCATTGAGGATAGTCAGTGCCTCAGGATGCTCAACACGTGCCCTAGTCATTTTAATCGATTAACGATTACAACTTCATTGACTGGCTTCTCTTTCTTACCTAGACCTCTACGCCTAACCTCAATATTAATTAGCATTTAATATCACTTGACACAGGGGGGGGGACAGAATTCAAAAATCTATGGTAAAAGATAGCTAGCCTTTTCATATATCTTCCACTTTTAATGACCATGTCTCACAGTCATAAAGGAGGATAGAGCAAACTGTTGCGCTGTACAGGACACATATCCTTTGATGGATAGGTAGATTTGAAGTGTATCCCAACTTCATGCTCAGCATACGTTGAAAGATCTGGACTTCGAGGACGATGATTTATGCCTAATGTGTCATACCAACTCGACGATCTATAGGCAAAAAACAACAACAACAACGAAGACAGAACTTCAAGTGAACATTAGCGATGACTGAGGCGAAGGTAGCACAAACCAGTAAGCAGCAAGCACCATCAACGGGATATATTTCAAGGTAACAATCTCTCTCTCTCTCACTTATTTAAGCGGCACCGATGAGGATGTCAAAGCCAGCCAGGATTGGAAAAACAAGACAGACCCTCATCACGCTCCACTCGGAATCTTCAATACTAATGTCAAGTTTGGCGATGATTCTATGTGGTTCAGAGAGAGAGCAGGCGTCATGAAAGGCATTTCCACAAGACTACTGAAGACTTTCATCAATACCCCTACCTTCGCTACATGGATAGTGAAGGTCAAATGACCGGCTGATAAGAAAGGATAAGCAACAAAGAAGTCTGGCAGTATAGTGAATCAGCCAAGGAACTGTTACCTAACGAATATACAGAAGGAAGTGGAGATAGATTGGACACAAGCCTACGAGACCGTTTAGTAACATCATGCACTAGGCCCTAGAGTGGAACCCGAGGAAGAAGCAATCGACGAGTTGGGCGTGGGTCCGAAAATGACATGGAGGAGATCGTGTGAAGAGGAAATGAAAGCTTGTGAATAGTCTTGAGGCCAGCTAAGAAGAATCGCTGAGAACGAATGCTGAGAGGGAAATCTGCTGTGGGGTAAAGGAGGAGAGATGTCTATAGATACATCGGTGGACTAACATCAGCTGATTAACAAACTGGTCCACGGGAGGTTCAAACACGAGAGACCAGGAAGAGGGTGTATTGATCATATCTTCCTTCACCCTTCGACAGATTCTGGAACATAGGCATAATTACTGGCGTTCAACAATCGTCATATTTCTTGACCTAAAGGCGGCATTCGATTCTGTCGATCGAGAGGTACTATGGCGATGCTTGGCTGTGAAAGGAATGCCGAGAAAATACATTGCGCTGATCAAAGCACTCTACTCAAACTAATGCAGCCAGGTGACAGCCTACGGAGAGTTGCCACCTGAAGTGGTGACAACCACTGTTATCCGTCAGAGATGCCCACTATCCCCATTTCTATTCAATTTCATCATAGACGTACTAATGGACTGAACCCTAACTGAATGACTTCAGCAACTCAGGGATCGACTTGCTACCAGGGAATAATCTCGTCGACTTAGAATATGCAAATGATATGATCCTTCTACGTGAAGACGCTGACAAAATGCAGAGTCTTTTGAACGTCTTGAGCTGCAATCTGCGAATGTGTGGCATACGATTCGCTCCCGCCAAATGTATGATGATGCTACAGGACTGGACTACACTGACTCCTAGATTAGAAATAGGGATTGAAGTGGTAGAGCATGTTGACCACTTCACTTATTTGGGAAGCTGCATCAGCTCCAACGGTTTGATCGTTGACGAAATCTCAGCACGGATACAGAAAGCTAGTTTCGCATATGTCAGTTTACGCCGGCTCTGGCGTAGACGTGATATCCGACTATCGACCAAAGGGCGTGTGTACTGCTCACCAGTCCGCTCCGTCCTCCTTTATGGCTGTGAGACCTGGCCATTGAGAGCGAAAGACATGAAAAGATTAGCTGTCTTTGATCATAGGTGCCTGCGTTCTATCTCCCGCGTGAAGTGGTAATAAGGTGAGCAATATTGAGGTTAGACGTCAAGTGCTAGGTAAGGAGGGGAAATCAATCGACGAGGCCGTGAAGCTGCATCGACTGAGACGGTTAGGACATATGTTAAACATGCCTAGCCATTGCCTTCCTCGACGGGCAACGCTAGCTGACATAGGGTCAGCCTGGAAAAGAGCTAGCGGCAGTCAAACCAAAACATGGCATCAGTCAATTAAATCCACAACAGTTAGTTTAAGCCAGACAAGTAGGAAGGTGTAGACTTCCTGGTTGGGGTCATCCGGACGGTAAACACCAATGGCTGGAGACATTCGGTGATATGGCTCAAAATCGTTCTCAATGGCTAACGCAGATGCATCCACTCCTTGTAACTTATAATACGCAATGAAACTATGTTGTTCTTCGTTATTACTATTCCTTTTGTCTCATATCCCTGTTTACTGTCTATTTTGTATTTCTATTTTCTTCTCTTGCTTTGTGTGCTACATGGAGTGTGGGGACTTGAACTGCTGCACATTGGTGCAGAGTTCTATGTTGAAAACAGACAGACACAGTAACAAACTATCACTAATACACTAATATCTAGTTAAATAACCCATAAAATTGATTTTTTTTTAAGCGGCCCCTTACAAAATAGTGGTGGATGATAACACCTGGTAGTAAATTATGCCTTTGATCACTTTTTAAGCTGCAGTTGTGGCTTATTGGCTCATCCCGTAGACTTCCAGCTAGCCGGGTCACAGATTTGAACCCCGATTCACCTACTCAGGTTCAGGCAACATCATTAGCCCTCACACAGTAGGTTTGGCTCATGGCCAACTGCATGGGATTAGAGTTGGTTGGTAAGTAACATAATAATACCAATAGTAGCCACTTTCTAAAAAGAAATCTAATGCCTTAAGTCACAGAACAGACAAAAAAGCATAAATTACAAAGAAAAAAATATTAGTCAGTTATGCAAATGAATCCCCTAAGACACAATGTGTTGCATAAAGGAAGATTAGATAAGCAGTTTTAAGTTCTGATTAACGATGACATCTCGGAAGAGATGTGTGAAAGACCCTTGAGCCAGTGAAATATCCAGTTGAGAAGGCTTAAGAAACCACAGTCAATACACTAATTTGAAGCATATGTCATGCTTTGCCAATTATTGTCCTTCCTTATTACTAAACTTTTGGGTAAGGATAGCTGATATCTGTAAGCCTTCATATGTCCGATATGGTTACAACTTGTAGCCTATTTAGGGTGGCAGATTCTTAGGCTTTATTAGAGAACCACCAGTAGTATCCTTTCTACGGTAGAAGTGTGCCTCATTGGTGCAAGCACTCAACTTCCAAACACTAGATAACAGATTTAAACCCAGCTCTATCTATCGAGGTTAGGTCAGCCAAAGTAGTAGTATCACTAGACCTTACAAGCTGTAACCTCTGAAGTTTGGAAATTAATTGCTAGAAGAGTGTGGTAATGCGCCTGGGTCAGAGGTCTTACACGTCGTACTTCCTAGCTTTTGATATTAAGGGACAGAAGGATTTAGGAATTACTGCAAGCTGTGATTCGAGAACAAATGCATATTGTAATACAGATGAAGCTAAGGATTTTCTAATGTCATGGGCACTTTGAAACGCTTAGATGAGCCTATTTCAAGTACTCGACCCTCTCAACATCACACCTCACCAAGAACACTGTTAACAAATAGCCATTCCATGCTTTAAGAAGGATGTACAGGTCTTGGGAGGAATACAAAGGGTTGGAAGTAAATTATTCATATGAGAAGAGAACGGAACATTTAAATCTCTTCCCATTATCATGCCGAAGGAGGAGAAGTGGTTCAATTGTGGCACACATTGTATATTAAAGTGTAATTTAGATGTTGACCCTTTTGACGCTTTCTTTTCTCCCAGGACAGCATTGAAAGCTGATCCCAAAAAATGTTCAAACTGAGGTCGAACAAAGTAAGTGTGGAATTTAGATTCTCATATAAGATGGTCAACGACTGGAACTCTTTACCCAGTCAAGTGATGTCAGCCACATCGGTGAACGCTTTCAAGAATAAACTACATCTCTAAAGAGATACACATAGGCACAACTAACATAGGTTACAATAAGTTATACGTGATCACTGATTCCCGTATGGTCCCCTATGCAGATGACTTAAAAATTTGGAGGGAGCTGAAGGGTGACAATGATACGATCACCAAATTGTTAGTGGTTCAAAGAACGATGCTCCCGATCAGCGTAGAGAACAGGAGACTCGTTGACGTCGTCTTCATAGACTTTAGCAAAGCCTTTGATAAAGTACCCCACAAAAGACTACTCATAAAGTTGGAAAGTCTTGGTATCAAAGGCAGCTTACTAAATTGGCTCAGGAAATTCCTCATAGATAGGAGGCAGAGGGTTAGGATCAACTCGAAACTCTCCTCTTGGACAGCAGTACGCAGCGGAGTGCCACAAGGCACAGTACTCGGATCTCTCGTATTTATTTTGTATATCAATAAGTTATCTCTGCTCACCGACTCCCCTATGGTCCTATACGCAGATGTCATAAAAATTTGGAGAGAGCTGAAGGGCAACAGTGACACATCCACGTTGCAAGAGGACCTCAACAAATTGTCAGAGTGGTCCATAGAATGGATGCTCCCAATAAATGTGGCAAAATGTGCAACCATGCGAATTGGACAAGCAACCGTCAGCTCCTACGAACTAGACGGAATAACACTACCATCAGTTCAAACTCATTTGGATCTAGGTTTCGGTGTAAGTCACGACTTAAAAACTACAGCACATTGTCGCGCGGTGGCTGCACATAATTTCAAATCTTTATGGGGGATTTGCAGAGCCTTTACTAAAGTCACGATAGATTCATACATCTCTAGTGGGGTCAAGACTGGAAAACTGCATAAAGGCAGCCAGTCCTTGTCTTAAGGGGGTTTACATATTCCAGGAAGAGTTTAGAGGAAGGCAAAACGTTCATTTCTTGGCATGATTAATTTATTATACAAAGAAAGACCACAAAGTTTAAATCTTTTCTCCCTGTCATACCGTAGGCAGACAGATCTCATTACAATGTTTAAAATTTTTTTTAAAAAGACTATGAGCCTGACCTTTTTTCTTCCCATCGAATCGGAACAACTCAGAGGACATAGTCCGGGAGTTCAAGAGCCGAAGAGAAACTACGCATCTGTGGAGTACTGGTTCTCACATCGAGTTATCAATTCCTGGAAACGATCCCCAGAAGAAGTTTTGTTTGCGTCCTCAATCGGCTTATTCAAGAAGTGGTCAGAAAAGCATGGATACTTATCCGAAAGGGATTAGCATAGGCTTGAATTCCCTTAACTTCAATCAATAAATCTGAATCTGAGTCCTGCTACAATGTTACAGCTTAAAAGTGATTCAGAAACCTTAGATAATATGCAAAACAAAGGATCCTAAATGATTACCCAGTAGGTACCCAAATCATAAGATTCATTTTTTTAAATAAAATTTACCTGAATTTCTTTAGAATGCAGATCTAGCGTAATTAAATGGTTGATTCCTGAAGCACATAACATTTTGGCGACAAGTTTACTGGTGATAGGTCCACGCTTTCTCCTTTTCGTTTGTGTTGAATAGGGTAAATATGGCACTACTGCGATAACTTTCCTTGCACAGGCTGATTTGCAAGCATAAGCAATAATCAATAACTCCATTATATCATTATTGACATCTTTAGTACCCGATTGAATAATATAAACATCCCGACCTAAATTATTCGAATAATGATTAACATGTATATTTTTTTTTCAATAATTATACCTCTAACAGTTTCGCGTATTTCAACCTCTGTTTCACGACTTGATCGAAAGAACACTGAACAATTTCCAGGACGAGCATTAAGATGCTGACAAACAGCTTTCACTAACTCTGGATGAGAGTTACCAGCAAATATAACCATTCCTTTTGATACTATACCCATGCCGACTGCACCACCTCTATGAACTAGAGATCTCATTGGTCGCATGTTACCAAAGCGATTATTGCTGCCTAGTGAACTGGTAAAGTTTGATTTAGCGCCATCTACTCCGTTAGCATACCTGATTGGTAAGTCGACTTCCATCCAAGTTAGTTACATAAATGTTACCAGATAGTTAAATTTTGGGTCAATTTTGTGTTAATAGTGTAAGCTAATTTTAGGAAAAGTCATTTATTGTCATTATAAGTGTGAATAAATTGTTAGTTTGACAGAAGGCTTTCAAATATCTCATAGATTTGCAGCGACCTTGTTTAAAACGTTGGCACAGCTTCTTAGTATTTTTGAACAGTCCTATACTTTAAAAGATCTCAGTACAGAAAATTTCCTACTCGACCACTGTAGCTCACATGAAGGCTACAGGACGTATGGCTTTAGTTTATTTTGAGGGAAATGTCCGATTGGTTAGTGTCGCTTCAAGGAATCACATGCTAATCTGCAAGATACTCATTTGTTTATTTTGATTTACAGCTTGATTCCACACAGTATTTTTCAGTACAAGTGTGGAATTTTCAGCATGGATATCGGTAGCCCAAATTCAGGCCGACCATAGATATCGGGTGTGCGCCGGCAGGGGATCGATGGGATCATTGGGAAACACCATAAAAAAAATTAATATTTAAGAAACCAGAAGGCATGCTGGATGAGCGACAAGTCAGGGAAATTGAATGTGGAACTTAAGTAGAAGAGAAGAGAAAAACGAAAGAAGGAACGTCGAGAGGACGGTAAACTACAACGTTAGAAGAAATAATGGGACGGATAAACTGAAAATGCTAAATATTTGTAGTGCCAGTACAGTCCCTCAGGAGTAGACTTCCTCCCGTACATATGTGAGCTAACCTTTCATTCTTGCATACTCGCCTAGGAGATACCAGTAGATAGAATGGTGGCCAGATTGGTTAACGGAGAAATCTACAGTCTGTGAAGAGGACTCTGGCTTTTGCGCCAGTGCCAGTCAAGTATCAGGTTTTACTGGCGATATCCTAAACAGAGAGTAAGCAGCTACTGCAACTAGCTACGGTTACTGCATGCGCGTGATGTTTGAGTAATTCAGCATAGACTTTTTATCGTTAGTGAATCCACAGGGTTTAGACCGGTGTAGTTAACAAGATCCCCATGCCATTTTGGCCAGTGTGTACGCTGATCAGTGCTTATAATAGACACTTTATTACTATTATATTCCAGTGCAGGAGTTTTGTCAGTAATTCAGTCTGGTTAAAGTTTCGACGAACAGGAGTTTTTCGGTCTTGGCGATGCAGGAGTAGACGATTCTTCTCCAAAACAAGTTGCTTTCAAGCCATCAACACTTACCTCATCCAGACAACCTGCTTTGTCGATGACTGAAAGCTTTTCCATGTTAATCATTTTGAAAGGTCTGCAGTGGTAGGTAATTCCCCAGAATTAATAGCCACTCATCACCGAATATCAGATGCTGACACTCACCATTTAGGTCGAATTTTCGGCTTAAGGCTCACAGTCAGTCAAACACTCTCTTCGCCACGCCGTCGTGTTACGTTCGTTCGTGCAGGATCTCTAGCTAGTTCAACAATCAACCTCACACTCCCATTTGGTCCCGAATTATACTTCGTAATTTGAATGATCATTTCTGGTGTTTTTCCTTGTCTTTAGTCCACGTGGAAGGAATACAATAAAAGTTGTGTGTATCAGATCTTGCGTTAGTCTATATCGTACTATCCGTGAACATCAGCACTCTCAGACTATAAAGGTCTATACTGAGCTTGTAGAGGCTTACAGCACCCATAATCCAACAGCTCTCTCTCTTTGCACACTAGCTAGAGCTTCTGGAAGTTGAGACAAGTGTTAGATTCTGGGAGTGGCCTTAGATATCCAAAGCACTTGGTTGGCCACATTCTGGAGAAGACACCTCGTTAGGTAAACAGAATGTGGCTCCATAAACCAGCTGTACCAAGGTACATATAATATCCAATTTGAGAGTGGAAACAAAGCCAAGAGGGACTTCAGTGATAGGATATGTCCATTTGTCGTTTTCGAAGTCCATCAGAGATTCGTTAAGGTGTCCGTTCAAACTCTCTACGAGTCCATTATTTAATATCTAGCATGCCATGGTCCGGGTGAGCTCGCATCTCAGTAGTTCTAGAAGCTTCTTGAAGGCTGCAGATTCAGATGGTTTCTCAGGGTCAGCTGTCAACGTGGGATGGTGTCGAAACCGTGCAGCTGATCTTTCGACGGAGACTCACCTAATTGTCTCAGCTGCTGTGTCCACCAAAGCGATAGCCTCTAAAAAGAAGGCGAAGTGACCTACGCGTATCGGTAAG